GCTCCCGGAGAAAGCGGCCGCCTCGGGACAGGAGGGACCCAGGAGAAGCCCCCCTGGGGCGGCTCCGCATGTCGGGGTCGCGCCTCTAGGCGACCTTGGTAGAGGGGCTCCTTTGCGCCGAGATCGCGACCCTCGAGGGAGCCACGGCCCGGTGATCCACGCTGCCCGTCCCGGCCATTGGCTGCGCCTTTGTTTCGTGGGACCCCAGCCCGCAAGGCCTGCAGAGCTGCGGCCTCTTCCCGAGTGTTCTCATCGCTGACCCAGCTGCTCCCGCGTCCATTCTGCGGCCAAGACACCCGAGCGCCGCCCGGAGCCCCGGTACTGAGGGGCGCAGGCCGAGTTCCAGACTAGCCTGGGAAACGCAAAGCGACCCCACCTCCACAAAAGTGGGTTTACTTTAAGTTTTTGACTAGTCCCCAGTTCACAAAATTGACATTTTGGCAGATGAAGATTGCAAGGAAACTGACGGTACGTCAGATTTGTTCTTTAGCAATTTGCTAAATCTCTTCTCTGACTGCCTTTTTTATGTATTTATTTTCGAGACAAGGTCTTACTCCGCTGCTTAGGCTGCACTGCAGTGGCGCGATCCCAGCTCACTGCAGCCTCCACCTCTCGGACTCCAGCGATCCTCCTGCCTCAGCCTCCCAGTAGCTGGTACTACAGGTGCCCGCCACCATGCCCGGCTAACTTTTTGTATTTTTAGTAGAGACAGGATTTCACCGTGTTAGCCAGAATGGTCTCAATCTCCTGACCTTGTGATTCGCTCGCCTCTGCCTCCCAAAGTGCTAGGATTACAGGCGTGAGCCACCATACCCGGACTTCATTTTTATTTTTGAACTTACTTAGCTCACCTAGTTATGTCATTATCTTGTTTTTTAACTTACCCAGTTCACCCAGTGTGGAATTAGGAGTATATGGACGTATTCCCGCCCCCAGTTTTATATACCGCCCCAGAGCTGACCACTTTTGGTCGCTTCTGCTAGGTCCTGGCCGACTTGAATGTGCCTTTCCTCCTGATCCTGCGCCACACAGGGCTGAGGGATGCTACCCTTTCCTTCTTCACCTGCCCCTCCCTCACATATCCAGCCCCAC